ATTATTATTATTACTATATTATTATTATGATGATGATTATTATTATTATATTATATATATTTTTTGGGGGCGGGGGTTGTTGGTTGAAGGATGTTCAGCCTGTCGACTCTCACACTAGCAGAGGCAGGCAAGGCGCACCGGTTTAAGTTTGAAGACTTATCGCGTCTCTGGCAAAGGTTCTATGAGGGCTTTGAAAAGGACCACAGGGAGTCCATGACGTGCACCTGTAGCCGGCCGAGGCGCCAAGAACAGAAGACACGGAGGTGGTGCCCCGGATTGTCATCGCTCACAAGTATTTGCAGGCATGATGGACTTGAGGATGTCAATGGTTTGCCCGGTGCTTGATGTTCGAAGCATGGCAAATAGGATATGATGCGACTACGGAAGAGTCACATCGCTATAGATTGAAGGTCCCCACCCCGATCGCACGCGCACATCCGACACAACCGCCGTCCGCTTCTCCGGCTATCCCAGGTATGCTTAACATAGTCTACCTCGCTCTCTCTGTCTCTCTCTCTCTCTCTCTATCGATGGCCAGTGTCTGTTTCGGAATGACTGACTGTTCGGTAATAAGTTCGGCTGGCTGGCTGCACTGAGGGCCGTATAGGGCAGGGCCATCAAGTGCATCTCGCGTCTCTGGCATAGGAACAAGAACATCGCATCAAATGCAAATATACCCGGACAGCTTCCAGCCTGCAGTGTGTCCGCTGTAGTCGCTGTAGATGCCCGTGCAGCAGCATCCATTGCACGCACAGTCTCGTTGACGCTCAGGTGCCTGGGAAGAGTTTGAAGGTGGTTGAAAGTCATCGATCGCTGCAGTATTAAGATTCGAACATGAAGGGCCATCACGGCAAACCATGGAGAACATTCGGTTTTAGGCACACAAGCCGTGTGTTTCTGCTGGCCACAAGCTTCTTGAGCATGCGGGGCCACAGCCCAGGGGCTTCGGGATTAGGTGAATTTATGCTTCTCGTCGAGCACACAGACACCCAGCGTCCCAAATTGAAAAGATATCTGCCATCCCAGCAATAGAGCTCAGCACTGCAGCACTCATGAGATGCCCAGCATTCTTCATAATGTGGAAGTCTGAACGGTTGGGCAACTGTTGAGCAAATACGTATTCAGTACACCAGGCTTGCTTTCGGAATCGAACCAAAAACCGCAAACCCCCCTCCTCCGGAAATCCCCAAAAGCACAAGGCCTCAAAAACCTGAAGAAACTATAGCCCATAAACCTCAGGCCCCTTCCGTCCAGCTGGCAACTCCAAGGCTGTCCGCGCCAACGCCGACGCCACTGTGTCGTCGTCACGAGCCTTCCCGGCTCGGCACCGAGACGGAGAAACACAGAGAGAGAGAGAGAGAGAGAGATAAGGGCGTAGGGCAATCGAAGCAGCTAGCTCAGCAGTGAAGCACACCTTTGCCACAAATTGCGACGCCATGCGCCCACACCTCAAGCCTCCCTCCCAGGTATTGCGAGTGAGTCGTAATCATTGCAAAAGCCCGTGTCGTCGTCACAGCAACAGCAGGGCGGGAGCGGAAGCAAGTGTAGAAGTAAACGGAGGTAGACGGATTGTGCTAATAGCAGTAACCGTCGTGGTCGCCATCCTCTTCGCCGTCAACACGGCAGGAGCAGCAAAACTTGGGGACGACATCCACCAGGAAAAAGCTGAAACCTGAAGATTTTCGCTCCCTCTGCCGGCCCTTTGCGCAGGGCCCTTGCCTGCCCCCCACAAAGTGAGCGCAGCAGGCGGGGCTGAAAGCGTGCTCTGAGAAGTCTGTCTTTGAATGCCTTCTCTCCAGGTCCCTGTGCTTGCAGCGTCTCTGTTTCAGGAATTCGTCGCTGATCGGGGGCTAACGGAAGAGAGCCCTGCCTGCGAGGCCTTAGCGGCGGCCAGGGCAGTTTCAACGGTGACATTCCTCGAGGCAGAAAGTGCGTTAACGTTGTAGGTTCGAGGTTTCATGCTTCAGGGCGTCTTCGAGCTTAGAGCTTTCATGACTGAACGTCCTGAGCTTCGTCTGCAAGATCGCCCGGCCATCATGCACCAACTTCTGCTTCTTGCTTCGGTTGTCACATGCGAGACCCTGCGCTCATCCACGTTGGCGGCGCAGCACTGGGCCAGAACCCTATGCGAGCTGCTACTGCTACTGTGTGGGCGTTTTGGGTCTCATTCGTCCAGAAGTCTCTGTTTGCCTCGGGACGTTTCACCTTCAGATCTGCCACAAAGAGCTGGAAGTCTGGGAGCCCAACACTCAAAGTCCCGAAGTGAGACCTTGCTTCAGCTTGAGCCCTTTAAAGTCCTGGCCTCATGGGGGGTCGAGCTCCCTTCTGCAGCATCAAGGCAGGCTCCTGCTGAAACATTCGTCCGATTTCGCCCAGCCGTTCCCGTCTCTCTGAACCGACTCTCGCAAGTCGAGGCTTTCTAAGGTAAAAGGGTTCATAGTGCTTTAAGAGGCTCTTGCTGTGTCTGGGGAAAAAAGGGTCTTTGCAAGCCCCAAGCCCGAGGCCTGGATATCTCAAACTCTACGAGTAAAAACCTAAACGGACCTAAACCATATCTCAGCGCCCCAGCTCCTGACGCAGAAGGGGCTTCCTTAAGGAGTCACCCGCGGCGAGCGCTGCCTCAGATTCTGATATATTCTTTAAGTCGCGGCTCTTTTGTGTCCTATAGGCAAGCTTCATCTAAAACTTATGTAGACTTTCGCAAGGCAGGTACTTCAGGAGCTTGTCGGCTTGGTGGCTCGTGTCGACGATTGAAGCAGGATGTTCAGGAAGCGACTGTGTATGCCAATGCTTGACTCGTTCAGAAGTCTGCTCGCTGTACTTCCTTGCAAGGCCAGGAAGACTAGAAGCGTCGAGCTTTCGACGGGCAAAAAAATTGAGATCAAGGGCATGGTGTTGCGAAGGACCACTCCTTCATGTAGCTGTCACAAGAAGCTCCAGTCACGTGCCGAAATCCCCAAATCCTCAAGTTGCGAACACTTCATTGCCACAGAACTCAACACCCTGAAGCTCACAGCCCTCCGCTTGCACTTCGCCATGATGCATGTCCTCCGTCCACCCCTCGCGAGGAAGCCTCACTTGCTCGTGGAGGGTGGGCACGCCCGTTTGAAAATGCCCGAAGCGCCAAACCGAAGAGCAGCAGAAGCTTTGAATTGCAAGCCACAGCTGTGCAAGTCTACCTGGCTACCTGGACCGCCTTCGTTCCGCCTCCTAAAAATTCCGAGAGGCTCGGAAGGCGAAGCAAGCCAAAAAAACTGCGACCAAGGCAGATGTGCTAGGCTTGCTCCCCCACCTCGGCATCGAGGGCTTCGCTTGCAGTGTCACAGGATGCCTTTGGAAGGGTTGACAGCACAGCCTGGACCCAAGTCCGAAAGGTCCCATAAAGTAGACAGACTATCCGAACAGTGAGCTGGTGACGGGAGGTTCATAGCCACCCACAAACACAAGGAGCACATCTACATGCCCTCTGCAAAACGATCTGACGAGCTCCTTTCGCATTCGCGTCTTACTTCCATGGAGTCCACAGCACCAGCAGAAACAGTTCCCTCCCTACGCAAAAAACAAGTCACTGCTGCGGGCAGGACTTGCTTAGCTGTATCATTGAGGAATATTTCATGGATAGCCGAGACCTCAAATCGTTCAGTAAAGCCTTCCTCTGCATTCGCAAGAGAAGGGTGCTGAGCACAACCGTGTTCACAGTTGAAAGCCTTCCATACAAGCTGCCAAGTTGCGTCGCGCCATATGGACACGCCATGGGCATCCAGGGCGAGGGGCCTGAAATTCATCTGCACGGGCCATGGAAGAACCCGGCAGAGTCTTGAGCCAGAAGCGACATTGAGGACTCATCTTATAGTTAGGGCCCTAGACCCCTTAAGGACCCAATCATAAGGTCCCTGGAAGCCTAGGGTCACCCACCTATGGGGCTGGAATGGCTCTTAGTTCGGTTTGTTGAAGTCCTGCAAGTATCTGAGCTCGGCTCCGTCCGGCTCCCTACTGGGTTCGGGAGTGGCTCCCAATCAAACAACCCATGCAGCCCTCCACCCGAAGAATGCCACGTGACAGCGCATAGATAGGAAATCTTGGCTGCTTGGGTTGAAGGCTCGAGGCTGGACTGGACATGTTCCTTGTGGAAGCTCGAGTCTGTGTTTAATAAAAACAGTCATGAAATGAAACTTCGATTGACGCTGGCCTTCACGACTTCGTTGCGCCGGTGGGTCACGAGATATATCTTCTCTGTTCCAGCATCTTGCAACAACACGAGCCCGTTGCCACAGCATTCAAACCTTGCACCAATGGACCCGATCCGGCCATCGTTTCAAGCGCTTGTGATCGATGGTTGCCCCTCTGGATCCGAAGAACCGACATCAGATTCAACCGTGGAGACCTTCTTGTACCCAGACCTTGCAAACAAAAATCACAACACACAGCAAGCTTCAACAATGTGCACATCCAAAGTCAGTCTTCGTGCAAAGCCTTGCGCCAGCTCTGGGGACAAGATGCAACCGAGCACCTCCAGCTCTTTTTCGGTCCCTCTGCGCATCTTTGCACTTGCCGACTCTTGCGGTTGTGAAGATGACAGCAGCTTGCGAAGATCCCAGGCTCGTTCCCTTGACTGGACCTTTGACTGAGCCTGTGTATGATTGTCCATGAGCAGGCCGCCTACCTGAAGCCGTCCGCGCGTGTGTCTACGGAGTTAGACCTGCAACAGCCTGCGCACATCCCCCTCATTTCTAAAAGCCTGGTACCTCGACTTCCCTCAGCTACTGGTTCAACCCTACGAGCATATCCCTGTCTGGCCAGCATGCTTCGTTAGCTCGAACCCCCTGTGTTCAGGACCGAGAAGGAAGTGTCGCAGCATGCGGACTAGCTTCCCATGATCGGTTCACACCTCGTCGCTTCCCTTCGCGCAAATCGCTGGGTGCGAAGCAACTGTGAGGCGAACTGCGCACTGACAGGACCTTCTTCTGAAGTCCTCCTGTCATCTAAGACTGCACAGGACACTAAACAAAGTCCACTGGGTTTCCAGAGTCGATGGACTTCGTATACTGCCAGCGCCCCTTGGAAACCATCTGCTTAGAAAGGTCTTGGTCGCTGCACACAGGCGCCTGATTGTGGCCTGCATGCTTGCACTGCATCTGCAGACGACGACCTAACGGCCAAAAAGACATGTCGACACTGATCGTGTCCACAGGGCGCAAGCCTGCGACCCCCGAATTTTCTACCTCCTTCCGGCGCGGGTGCTGTGAGAAGGGCCCGTGGTGGTTCTGGACCAGCCATGTCGCATCCATGACCTGGCCCCAGGTGCTCGGAGGCTGTCCCGAATCTGTCTGAAACTGCTGCCAGTAGATGTGGCTGGCGTTGTAGACCTGAGATTGGGACAGGGGTTGATGTTCTTGGACGCATTAGAGTGCATGCGGCTCTCATGGGTCATGCGCACCTAATTGCGTGTTGAGGAGACATCCTCTCAACTGCATGTGCACGAACATTGCATGGATGACACTTCGCTTCGCTTGAAGAGCTCAGCTCAGGGGCAGTCATCTTGGACCAGCCATAAGTGTTCAAACGCTTGGCGCTCCTTCTCGGAGCTGGGCGCGTGAAGGCTTCGTGGTCTTCGACGTTTCCGGCGGACCCTCGAGGGAGGTGACGCATCCAAAGCAATCGAAAAATGAAGCGAGGACACCCTAAATCAGCTCAACTTGAACCAACACTGCCAAAAAACAACACATTGATTGGTGTCCTGTCTTCAAGGTCCCGTATACACGGCTAACTGTGACAAGGGTTGACCGTAGAGAGCAATGTTTTGACTGCCAATTTAAAGTTTGATAATGTTCATCCTAGCCTAGCATGGACAAACCTGCAGTTCCCACAGGAACTTGAATCAATGAGACCTCCTCCTCTTTTGCAAAGCAAACGTGTCTTGCAGAACCTAACTTGCAACTTGATCAACAGCCTAACATATCCTCAACTTTCGACCCCAAGCCCTAAACCCTTACCCTAGTTACCCTAAGCCGGGCCTGTCACGATGTATGTCGTGGCCGGCGGGTCGATCGTGCTTTCAGTGGTGATGCCGCTCAGCCATGGCATCTTTGGGTTCCACTTCGGAGAAACGTCAAACATGCGCTCGTAGTTGTGCTCGTGGCCTCCGTACAGCGGATGTAGAATATGTAGAGGCTTAACTTAAAAAAAGTCATGCAAGCTCTGGTCTCGGAGATTGCACCTTGAACACATCAGGGAACCCTGAGGCCATGATTGGCCTCTCGTTGAACCCCTTCGCCGCCAGCCCGAATCCTAGGGCTCATCAACCTAAGACCCCGAGCATAGGCACAGAGGACTGTGCTTCGGGACGTTACTTGCCGCACGTGCGCCAGTAACTAACCTAACTAGCCTTGCAACCGTCGTGCACATACATACATACATACATACATACATACGTACGTACATACATTACATACACACACACATACATAATTCATACATACATACATGCAGGCATGCATGCATGCATGCATGCATGCATGCATACATGCATGCACAGATGGATGCATACATAGATTCATGCATGTTGGCATACCTTGCCATACCCTACGTTACGTGCCGTCACATACATAACCGCGTACATACGTAAACGGGACAGATGGTACGCCCACATGGGCCCACGTTCCCTTGCAACAAGCCGTGTGGCTGCATTGTCACAGTTCAGAACTCACGGGAAACAGAGGGGATGCTCGTTTCACTGCCTTCTCGAAGAATATCTGACACAAGCTGGGCAAGACAAACATTTTTGCCTTGAGGACGTGCATCTTCGTACTCCTCCTGGTTTACTCAGCTTGAACAAACATTAACCAATTTGGGGTAGATGTGCAGAAACAGCTGTGGCGAAAAATGACAGTGATTCGGAACAACTCCAGGAAAGTCTTCAACCTGACCGCCTCCCACGTACTTCCTGCCTGCCATGTACATGTCCACACCATGGCGATAGAACAGCTCCTCCAAGCCATACCTGGATGAGGGCCATGCTTTCTGCGGGCTGTTGAATGTACTTAGTTTGGGCCGCACCTAATTGATGTTAAAAGATGTCAAAGACAAGCTGTCACTCTCGCCATGTCTCGCTGCAGCTTACGGCGGGCCTCTTTGGAGAGCAAGCTGCTTCAGTTGAGGCTTTCCAGGTTCGCTCACCATAGTCAGCAGTTGACGAAGTTTTCGCTTTGGCTCCAGTTGTGGGGTTGCCGACAGGAAACACAGAGGACCACATTGATGTGCTCACTGGGCCACTGGCTCTAGCAGTACCGACGAAACTGGCACTAGTGTTGATCTAACGCAAGCTAGCAAGTATGGGACTTAATGTGAAAGCTGGCCTAAGCGTTCGCATGTGTCAGGACAACCGGCGAATCACTCGTGGAGACGTACACAGCACGACCCTCCACCATGATGTCTGTCCGCATGCTGTGCAAACAGATCTGTTCACCGCAAAAAGCTGCGGCGATGAGTTATTCAGCCCAGATGCTTGAAACTTCCATCAGGCTGCTTGAACCCCATCCGGTTTAGGGTCGCGATCGTGTCGCAGTCGCCCTCGGCAACTCAAACAAGGTTCCTGTGCGAAAAGTTCTGTGCCTGCATCAAAGCACCCACAGGATGCCATCTGCAAGGACTCCTGCTTTCAGGATTGAGCCGGGTTCTGGCATGTTTCGGTTTGGGGAAGCAGCCATGACCCTCATTTTCCAGCTTGGACACATCGCAGGAGCAGTACAGCGGACGATGCCCATGAGCAACTACCCATGGTGTCTTGGTGCCTGGCAGGGCCCAGGTCTTCCGACTAGTCATGAACTCTGAAACCCCGAAGGCCCTAGAAGCCAGAACCCGTGCCTGCTAGCTCAGAAAGGAATTTGCTGGTGCAGGCTAGGTATATGTTTGCACAGTGCGCCATGTACCGAACTTCGTGGAGGCATAGGGTGTGTCTGTTCTCTATTGCTCCATACCAGGCGTATCCGGCGGTTTCGACACATCGGCCGCATCTGCATTCAGGTTCTACAAGAAGTCCTCTTGTAGGAGCAGTAACAGAAGCAGTGGAAGGAACGTTCGTCGCCGTTGTCGTCTTACTACTACGGACATCACCTTCTACTTCTAGGTGAGTTTACTTAGACTTCTAGTTCTAGTTCTACTGCAACGACGACGACTACTGCCCATACTACCTCTCCCACTCCTACTCGTGCTCCTGGTGCCAGGGCCAGTGCGGCGTGCGAGTGCTAGCTGCTCGCTGCCAGTGCTAATCTTAGTGCTAGTGCAAGTGCGGGTGCTCTGCTGTTGCTACCGCTACCGCTACCCCTATCGCTACTGCTGCTCCTGCTCTTTCTGCTGCTACGACATGTAGTGGTAACATACTGCTACCACCTGTGGTTGCTGCTGCTTCTGCTTCTGGGCCGCAGCATGTGCGAGGTTTCTACCAGTAGAAGCCGCGAGCTTATCTCTCGCTTTCTCTGCCATGTCAGCCTCTGTTTCCAATGATCTATGTTTGTACACACGTGCCATACAGAATGCGTGCGTGCATGCATGCCTACGTCATGTCGTGCAAGATGTCGAGCGTCGTCGACAATGCGTGTGATGTCTACAACCACAGTCATCGAAGCCGTAGTGGTCCGCAAAAGAAATCGGGGGCACAAGCTTGCATGCAGTCGGGTTGCGGTCCACCGCAGCTAGATCGGTTTCCAGCCAGGCGTATTGCTCTACCACCATGGAGTAGTAGTCCGCGTTCGTATACACCTCGTCGGGTTCAGGGTTGCTGCTTTCCACTATCTCCGAGCATAAGACCCTTGAGGTCGTGTCTCGCACTTGAGCCCAGGCCCAACAAGATGAAACGGCCTCCGTCGAAAGGGCCACGAAGTGGACCAGGCCGCTGTCCCAGGAATACCACCTCTTCCACTGCGGGCTGAACTACTTGACCGCACTTCGCCATGTGTGCTGGCATCTCTCAAGTAGATTCAAGAATGCCACGAAAACGATGATGGTGGTGATGGCAAGCGCTCTAGCCTTTGCAGAAGGACGCCCAGCCCTAGCATGGCCGTTGTCAGCCCCTCGACGTCCCACACAGATCATGACGATGACGTTAAAAACGATGATTCTCAAGGTGAACTGTAAAGTGCTAATTCCGGACATGAAGATGATGTGCAATACTAGAAATACTACAGTGATGGTGGCGGTGGTGGTGATGATGAAGTGGATGATGCATGGCCCGGTCCAGACAACCAATGGAACCAATGGCAGTTGGCTTCTCAGTCTTACCATGCGGTGCACCTGTAAGGCTTGTGTCGTTTCCATCGTCCTTGCAGTGGTATGTGTAGTTCATGCTTTGTTGTGTAGACGTAGAAGAAACAGCTGCCGCAGCCCTGAAATGTCCTTTCCATAAGGGGACGACGCCTTTGCTTTATTTGCAGTTCAAATCCGAGCCATGGCGCCAGTTGTTGGGCACCTTGCCAAACTCCGGGAACGTGATGGTCCCAGAGTTGGATGGCATGTTCCTGCCAGTTCGAGGTCAGTAGCTTGCACGAAGCCACGGTTTTCAGCGCATCAGAGTCCCAGCTATATCCAAAAATGTATGCTGTGTGCTCCCCAACCGAAACAGCAGCTGTGGAGCAACTCGGGGTCCTGAATCGCTGTGTGTAGTGATTGAAGTTGTTGCCAGCCTCCTGGGGAGGAGCACATCTCTAGTGACGATGAGCTCTGAGCCGGGTTCACGCAGCAAAGAGCTTAGCCCTGCAGTTTCATATCCTGCTGCTATCTCGGTCGAAGACACAGCTCACCTTGCACCAAGTTGTTGTCTGTTGCTGTTCGTCAAACTTGCTCCCACCCATAAGGAAAAAACGCTTCGCTCGCCGAGGCTCGTGGTTTCCCGACGACACCATGTACCTGAGGGACTGAAATAAAAACTGGAAACTACGAGGAAACACTGAGGTGTAACGATGTTGTCGAGTTCAGAGGAAGCTGAAGGTTGAAAAATCCATGCCTTTAGGCTGAGGGGACTTTCCGAAAATTAGGGTACCTTATTTTGGGGTCCTTATAAAAAGGATCCTACTATTTAGGATACTATATTAGGGGAGCTGCAACACCCCAGAATCCAACTGACTGGAAAAGCACGAGACTGTGGCAGCGCAGTCGTTGTTGCTCTTAGTGTTGTCGTGGCAGTAGGGATTGTGACGAGCGCTTCCTTAGTAGTAGTAGTAGTAGTAGTAGTAGTAGTGGTGGTGGTGGTGCTCGGTATGAAGCTCCAAGTGTGCAAATTAAAGAAACCCTCTGAATCGTCGTCCGGGCTGCGGCACGGCAGCAGACAGTGGCTGGATATCCCGCATCCACGCGTCGCCATTGCGGCCGTTGTCGCTATCAAAGTCGTACGCCATGTCCCCCACCTCTGAAGTGCACAAGGCTTCGTGATGCGACCCATACAGCATCGCTCTCTGAAGTAAAGACCTTCGATGAATGCAGGTTGCCCGAGACAGCGCCTTCAACACAGACACACAAGCTCCTGCCGTCCAGCGGTCTCTGATTTGGGCCTTGCATACTCTAGCGAACCTGAAACCAAGCCGCAGCAAAAAAAGCTTGCAAGTGCTGATGCATGCATGTAGGCTTATAGCCATTCTGCTCATGGAATGCCCCCACTCGCTGGTTGCCTGCGCATGCCGTAATTACTAGAAAAGCATTGCTGCATCTTGGGCACATGCAGCACCATGTCCAACTCGCCTTTCCGAGCAGCGATCTGCAAGGAAGGCAAGGTTTGCCCGTTGTAGTCACCCAGGTCACCATAGACTGCATAGCTCCTTCAGGCTTGTTTATCTTGTTTGAAGCTTGCACAAGCGGCTGTGGTTGGGTGCGGGGAGGAACACGAACCGGTTTCGGGAGTAATGGAAACCGCTCCGGAACACTGTAACCGAAACCCGCGGCCGTAGTACTAGAACAGGAACACGACGGGAACTGTCAAGGGAAACCATCGAAGCGCGGGCAGGAGGCTTTTCTGCTCGCACAGTCCAGGACGGAAAACCGGTCCCTGACTGGCAGGCCTGAAGTAGACAAGACATTTATAAGAATATCGATGCACTTGTCCTGAACCCTTGACACTCAGACCAGCAATAGGTAACCAGGCATTAAGGTCATTAAGGCTAGATTCAAGCATTGGATTCTAACATCAATTCTCCATAAAGCCTCGATTAGACTACTAAATCAGACCCAACCGCCGCATTCCCGGGGCTCATGGGCAGCCGCGACTGCACATCCTCTTCAGAGATGGGTGCACTCTTGAAGCTCAGAGCTGAGGACCATCCCGTCCTCTGTCCTTCCACCAAGGCGGCTTACTTGGTGCTGGTGCTTGCTGGGGATGCTTTTTAATTCGCCGGCGACATTGCTGAACGAGTCGCCTGTTGCTGTCGAACCCCTTGCTTGGGTTCTTGTTAATGCTCAAGCTGGTGTGCCGTTGTCGTTGTCGTCGTGGCTGTTGCTGCTAAACTCCTCCTGTGGAGGAGGCTTTCGCCGATGGCCTCGTTGTTGACATGGTGCTGGTTCTGTGGTTGTGGTTGTGGTTGTTGCCACTGGTGTAGTTGCGGATGTGGATGTGGTTTGTGACAGGTGTTGCTGCTGCTGCTGTTGTTATTGTTGTTGTTGTTGCTGCTGCCGTTGCTGGTTCTTGCTTGTTCTTGATTGCTGCTGCTGATGGTCTATAGCTGCTGTTTGTTAGTAGAGATGTTTATTGGATGAAGCAGTGGTCGATACTGTCACCGAAACTGTCCATGACATGCGGCTTGTCGTTGTGGTTGTTGGTTGTTGTTATTGTTAATGTTGTTGTTGCTGCTGCTGTTGTTGTTGTCGTTGTCGTTGTTGTTGTTCTTGTTGTTCTTGTTCTTGTTCTTGTTCTTGTTCTTGTTGTTGTTGTTGTTGGCAGCACGTGCGTCTGCCGCCGTGCGGGGTGTGTCGATTTCTTGGCTGG